AATAATCCTACATAATTAGTTTCTTCAAGAATCTTTCAGAAAGAGTGAGAATAATCTGACCAGCAGTTTTTCTATGGTATTCAAATCTGCATTCTTACTAAGTTCAATACTCTTGAAATTGTTTAACCTAAGTTTATGGGAGCTATTCTTGCATTTGCAAAATGTATTGAGAATACATTTTACATTAGGAGATGGGCTACAGCTTAGTTTTTTCTCATAAATTTCATTGTTTTTTCCCCTCATCAGTCTGGTTCTCTTAGTTCTTAGAAATCAATCTCTTAGTCCTTAGAAATCAATCTGACTTAAGAAAGCTATTGACAAAATCATTGATTGGGCTTTTCTATGGAGAATTTCTGCTCATTATGCTGTGAAAGTTCCAGAAGTGGATTCAAATAATGGATCTCGGACATACACCTTTAGTCTCATCTGAGCCTAGTATCTCTTCCTATAAGTTAGGGCAGGGTCCCCTGCCCCCAAGTCTGTGGACCTCTACTGGTCTGTGGCCTGTTGGGCCATGCAAGCGGCAGGCAAGCTTGGGAAGTTCCACTTGTGCAAGCAGCGTGCACATGCACAAACCACCCCGTCCCCTCCCCCTGCTGACACTTCTGGTCTGGGGAACCAGAAAGGTTGAAGACCACTGATTCCTCCAAAAGGGTTTGTGTGGGCCTCCTATTTGTCATCTATTATAATATGAAATTGTACAGGGCTTTTACTTTAGTCTGGCTGAATGCCCTGCTTTTTGCCATCTTCCTTGGATGTGCAAAGGATACTCCAGGTAGAGAACACAACTACTATTTATTGCTCCTCTTATCTGACAGGACCCCAGTTTTGTGCCTCTATATACATTATTTGCTTTACTTGTAGTTGAGGATTCTGATTATCATTTGCTTACTTGTATTTCATGTTTTTTTCTTGAAATTGTTATACTTTTATCCCTGTACTTTTATGTTATATATATTTCATTCTATTTCTTGAAGTAAGGATGAGTATATTACCCTTAATATTTATATTTATCCTTATTTCTTGTAAATTTATATATACATATAGTCCTTGACTTACCACTATTCATTTAGTCATCATTCAGAATTACAACAGTACTGAAAAAAGTGATTTACGACCATTTTTCACATCTATGACTGTGGCAATATCCCCATAGTCACATGATCAAAATTCAGACATTTGGCAACTGGCATGTATTTAGGATAGTTGCAGTGACCTGGGATCATGTGATTGCCTTTTGCGAACTTAACAACTATTAAGATTTACTTAACAACTGTGTTACTAACTTAACAACTGTAGTGATTGGCAATTATGGCAAGAAAAATTGTAAAACGGGGAAAAAACACTTAACAAATATCTTCTTAGCAACATAAATTTGAGGGTCAATTATGGCTCTATGTCAAGGACTACCTGTTCATGTATTTATATTTACTTACTGTTTAGGTTTTCTATCACTTTTTTGTGGCCTCATGGCCATAATGAAGTTATTTGATTCTGACCTTGCCAAGATTGTTTGGTAATGGAAAATAACTAATATAATCTGTAATTTATAATAGCATAATTTGTCAGTGGATTGGGAATATTGGTGATAATCACTGAAACTTTCCAAAAAAGCAGTATAGCAAAAGCCCCAATGCTCTCAGGTAAAAGCAAACAGACTTATTTTTCAGATCAAATCTATTGTAACAAGAATATTAAACTAGTATTTGACTTCAGCATACAGTGTGGGAGTGATACTTCCCATGTTATTATAGTACAAGACAATTTTATAATCAGACAAACTTTGACTCTAAGAAAAAGTGGATTAAGATGATACAGCTAAAGTTGAAGATATGATTGATTCAATTTAATCTGGAAGATCTGCTATAATTTGGAGCCATTCCAACTGCTACTGTCTATGGCTGTTTAAACAATGTATCATAGCTTTTTAGTTTATTTATCAGTACTTGTGGGTAACAACATGTTAAAATGACAAGGTCCAGTAGTAGTAGGTGTTTGTGAATATTTCAAAATTAACTAAACTTAAAACAATAAAAAATCTATGAAACATGCATTTGTAGGAGGTTTTTTTTTATAAGAAATACAAAATAGGATTAGAAGTCTAGGTTGAAGGCAGCATTGATATTGTAAGACATTACACTTATCACATGGCATATGATGATCCAATTTCAAATAGTAGTATTTGGCTTGTATGTGTGTTTATTATACTGATTTTTAATACCTTCCCATGCTGCTCTTCTGTCCACTAAAATATATAATAACAATAGAAGATATACTTGGCAAAATATAAATTAAATGCTATTTTAATTAAACAATTTGATTGTTGTTTAGAGTTAATAATTAAAAAATAAAACATAAAAAATAAGTATAATGATAGTATATAATATAATACCTTTCATAAGATGTCCATAGGTGCAATCATGCTAACATTGAAGGGAGTCTATATAGACAGCAGACATCAGGAAGAATTGTAACTTCTTGAACTGGAATAATCAAAAGCTATATAATAGTAAACTATACTATATCACATATTTTGATACATTCAGATTCTGAATAAGACAAAGGAGATGTAGATAGCATGTGATCTTGCCATCATGGATGTTGAACCAATTTTTACTTTACTACTATTTGTTTTTACTTTACTACCAATTTCGAAACCAGTTGTTACTAAAACATCAGTTCTGAAATATTGTTTCATATTAATATATGCTATTAATGATCGTAATTTATTGCAGTACATCCATATTGGTATAGTTTTGGAGGATGGTAAGTTGTAAGCAGTAAGGTTGGCAAAAGGACCGAAAGTCCATTGTCTAGTAAAAAAACAGGAGGAACTGGCTCAGAAGTGAAACTTCCATGACTGTATGCCAAACCCATTATACCAGATTTGATTGTTCTCTTCTGCAATAACAGTATCTGCCTCTTTTCTTGTCTGCAATAATACAGCTTGGTTGGGTTTGGGAAGCTTCTATTGTTGCTGAATGAGAGACTGAGTTCCTGAAAGTCAATTTTTTTTGCTGTGTTTTTGAAATCGGATGAGTTCCCAAATTTATCACATATTGCAATATAGTGTTTTTAAGCATGTTTTTAAAAGATAAAATACAGTGAGTTTTTAGAAATTAGAAGGAATATTTTTCTAATATAATGGACATGTAGGTGTAGATATCAATTGGCATAAAATAAATTGGTATTCATTAGAAATATACAACATAATAAATTATACTCTGTAGTAATTGAAGATTAACTTTTTTGCATTGCCAACTCCTATAGGGTAAAATTAAATTAAACAAAGGTGAAACATTTTTACTCTTGTCTTTACATGGAATTCAACATTTACTGAGAACTATTTCAACAACTGGATATACAATTCCAATGATTCTTGTGTCACAAAATAATGCACATTTTTTGGATTTATTTTTATTGACATGATTTTTTAGCTTAAAAGCAGGGTTTTTTTTGTCATAGAACGCCTAGAATGGAGTTCCTGCACTTTTTTGGGATGGAACCTTGTAGGGTAGGCAAGGCGGGTTGTATGACGTGTGTGAGTTCCGGCATCTTTTTTTTTTTTTTTTTTTACAAAAAAAGCACTGCTTAAAAGTAACTGCATCAGTGGGATTCAGCCAGTTCACACCATTTCGGCAGAACCAGAAGCTAATTTTTTGTTGCCCAGGCCCAGAATGGACTTCCGGAAGTGGATCCACACAAAAAAACGGTTGTTCACATATTTGAATCCCACTACTGAATTGCATCCATATAACAACACAAAAACAACAGCAATAATAACTATACCACAAAACAAAATAAATCATTAATATTTTTAAAAGGTAGAAAAAGCAATACTAGTTCCTAATTAGTAATAAAATATGTAGTAAAATAAAAGGCAAAAGAAAATAATTATAATAAAATACAGTTTGACTGGCACTGGAAAAGCAACCAGCTAAGCACTTTAAATTCATACAAATTTATGTTAGTAACAAATCTTAAGAAGCCTAAAAGTTTCTGCAGTCAAACTACAAACTACATTTCATTCATCTCAGGCTTCTCAAAAAATTCAGATTTCATTAATGCTTTCTACAAACTTGGGATTTATTTTAATGTACTTATATATGAAATTTATATGGCTGCCCATCTTAAGAAATGTCTCTGGGTGACAATCATATATTTTTAAAAAATAAAAAAAATTGACAGAACACAAAAAGCTAAAGTATCTCACACTTTATTTACTTATTTGTTTATTTATATATAGAGAGATTTATAATATGATTTGATTCAAACAATGTGACTCTGGGTGGCATATAACATAAGCACACAATAATGATAATAGCAATTATTATAACAGTAATAGGCTCATAGCACATCATGTTTAACTCTACTTGAAAAGAAGAAAGTATAGATAAGTGATGTGGCAATACCCGGGGATAGTAGAATCGAAAACAAAGAATTAGAGATCACAAAGTATCAAGATCTGAAAATTGAAATTGGAAGATTGTGGCATAAAGTGGCCATGGTGGTCCCAATGATTATTAACATACTGCTTGCCATAGCAAGAAATCTTGGATGATACTTAGAAAATCTGTGCATTGATACAGTTTCTGTCAGTCAAAATGCCACTCAGCTTAGATATGTTCAAAACGCCACTCAGCTTAGATATGTTCATATACTACTATGAAACATTATAACATATTAATATTGATGAATATTAACACCAACGCCAGATAAAGAATTGGCAGCTATGATTTCAGAAATACCTTGAAATTGTGAAGGAGGACGTAATGTTCTGTACTGAAGAAAATACAGTAATGATAAGGAAATGTCATGACTGTTCTTGAAAAGATTAAACTTCTCAAATATGTATGGTCTCCCATCAGCATTTCTCTCATTAATTGGATAGTTCCAAATGAAATTATAGCTTTCTAGACTGAGCAGAAACTATTTAATATTTTGCAGAATACAACTTCTTAAAACTCATTTTTGTCTTTCCCCCCCCTCTCCTTTTTCAGCAGATGGATGTACTGACTGGTCAGTGGATTACAAAAAGTATCAAGTCTTAGTGGGAGAACCTGTTCGTATAAAATGTGCATTGTTTTACGGATATATAAGAGCAAATTATACCATCGCACAAAGTGCTGGACTCAGTTTAATGTGGTACAAGAGTTCCGGACCTGGAGATTTTGAGGAACCTATCGCTTTTGATGGAAATAGAATGAGCAAAGAGGAAGATGCTATTTGGTTTCGTCCAACACTGGCACAAGACAGTGGGCTTTATGCATGTGTCATAAGGTATGTTTTAACCTTTTTCATCAGCAAGAAGTACATAAACAGTATTTATTTATTATTTATTCTTCTGTCTAAATCATTTTGTTTGCAAACAGATTTTAAACAGAAACTATCTTTATGATGTTTATGTTAAATGGAAAAAATAGTTTACAAATGTATTTGGTCTGTATTCAACTACATTTATATTCTAGAAAGCATTCCCTAATGAGTTGTTTTGATTACCCTCTCTTTGAGATTCTTCTTGTTAACAGAAGTGTGCATTGGTATGTTGCATACTGTATCTCTTAGCTGGTAGGGTATGGTTCACAATACAATGGTTTTCAAAGTAGTTTATATATTAAAAATCCTTGTTTGCATAGCATAGATGAATTTCCCTATAACAAAACTGGACTTCTGTTATGACTTGTGGCCTGAAAAGGTCAAAATTGATCAGTTGTGTTCTTAGTATTAACAGACAATTCTTCATAAGTCATTGGTGTGATTAAAGCTAACCTAGTCTATTCATTTTCTATCTTATAAAAAGCTTTATGTGAAAGCTTTCATTTATGAAATCCATGATGAATGATGGAAGTCAGTATTTACAGTCTCATCTTGTCACAACCATAGCAGTTGGAAGACTTCAGCTTGCAATCTAAGAGTAAATGGTAAAGAACATGAATAAATGAAATGAAAGAGGAGAAAAAATATGTGTTGTGTGTATGTGAATCTAAAAGAAAGACAAAGGTTTTACCAGATTTGAATAAGGAGTCTTGGATCTTGTGGAATGAGTTGATGAAAACATGAAGTTAAGTATAGTCTCTACAAAAGGAGAGACTAAAATGTATATTTAAATATGAATTGGTGCCATCTATGCTGTTGTGGGTATGTATAAAAGTATGAATAGATAAGTTTGTGACAGTTATATGTGAAGAGTTAATATGAACAGTGATAATGGAAGAGCTGAGAATGATTTTATGCAAAATGTATTGTTTGGCAAAATATGTTCTCTAATAAATTGCACAAATAGATCTTTTGAAGTGAAGCGAGAATGTTCAGAAACTTGAGAGTTAACCTTTAATACACATGCATATATTCCCAAACTAATATATCATTTTTATAGTTTCTGCTTTTGAAATACATATTCATCTACTTCGGTTTATTCTCTAACACAAAAATTATTCATACTGAGATATACTTTTCTCCCTGTGGAGAAAACGGACACCATCTGGGCTCCCTCTTAGATTTTGAAAATTATCAGAGAACACAGAATTAATTTAGAGAGAGGTTAAATGATGCACATAAAAATGCAGGAAAAGTCTTGCAGAGAAAATGCACAGTTTATTACTAATGGCTTGAAACATTTTGCTTATTGCTTTTTGCAGAAAGACCATAAAAAACTGTGATAGCTCTTCATTGACACATATTGTAGATAAGATGCAGTTACCTCCATATTGCAGGATCCACAACAAATTAGAGACCTAGAAGTATAATATCCATTATTTAAATTGTCTGGTTTCATAACCACAATAAAATACAAACAGAAATAAAATCATATTATGTTGTATCTCTCGAATATTTAGCTTTTGGTAGTAATAATTTTTAAAATGTTATTTTCTCCCTTTAAGCATCAGGCCTCATTTTTGCCTCATTATGCACTTTATTATCCATGGAATAAATATTTATTTTGTATTTACTTTTAGATAGAAATACAACACATGAACATAATCTAAATGTAAATAATTACTTAGGTTTGGACCTATATCCTAAGATATTAGGAGACAGAGATACACCAGCTAACATTTATAGGGAATTTATCTGCAGTATATCTGTGATTTTAGTTTGTTGAAAATGCTGTATAGTTTCAATCATTTATTCAGCACTATGTTTAGAGATATACTGAGCATTTTTAATCATTACACACTATGAAAGGCCTCCTCTAGGCTCCTTTTCACATGTAAATTGTACTTCCAAACTGTGAAATATGTGTGAGGTAACAGATTATCAATTGTTTCAATGCAGGACATAATTAAGAAAATTAACATATTGAGCAAGCTATATTTATTAACAAGTAGCAGAAAAATATTACACACAGGACTCTTTGCAAGCTTAACCATCCTCATTTTCCAAATCTAAGCTGGCAGTCAAGATTTTTTTTTTCAATTAATACATTATGAAATCGCAAATGGTAAAAATCTAATGGTCTTGTCCAGTGGTAGAATTCAAATAATTTAACAATCAATTTTCTGCCCTAATGATGGTTTTAAGTATAAAAAACCATATACTGAAAGGTAGTTTATTATTTAATGCATTTAATACTTAAATAAGAACAATAAAAGAGATACACAAAACTAGATTATGTTGGATTGGATCTTATATTTTTTGGACCAAAAGATTCATTAGGTCTTATTTTGGGGGGATGTCTTACATTACAGCAGGTGGCGAGTGCGCAGGGGCAGGGCATGTGATGGCAGACCAAGGCCAAAGCGCTGGTAGAGCACCAGAGGTCATGAAGGGTACTGAAGCAAGTCAGTGTCCTGCCTGCAGTGCCCATACCAGTTGCCCCTTCCCTGCCAGAGCCAGAATGCTGCTGTGTTTACCATAAGTGCAGATACCGGTAGATGCCGACCTTCCCTCTGGCGGGCCTGGGCAGCTGCTAGAGCGTGAAGGGCCCATTTCAGTGCCTGGCAACATTAGGAGGTTTGCCCTTTCACATCCCTTCCAAGCCAGACTGCTGTCTCTTTTGGCCACCTGCAGCTCTGCCCACACAGCCATCAAAGTGGCAGGTGGAGTGCCAGAGCTGGCATCTGGGCGATAGTGGGTGCTTTCCAGCTCTGTCACATTTCTATGCCGCTGCAGAACTGGAGAACTTGCCCCACCTACCATCGCCCAGATGCCCTCCCTTCCCAAAGCATGTCTATGCTAACTTTCTTTCCAGCTCTGGCATGTTCCTCTGTCGTGTTCCTCCACCACCGTGTGCAGTCCCACAAACAAAAGAAGTTTGTGTAACTAAGAAAAAAAAGTTCAATCAACCAATTCCAACTTCTCATGGAAAAAGAATTTGAGAAGTTGGAATTGATTGATTGATTGAATTTTTTTTTTTAGTCACACAAACTTCTTTTGTTTGTGCGACTGCACCCCGCAGCAGAGGAACACGACAGAGCTGGAAAGAAGATTAGCAAAGAATTGCTTTGGGAAGGGAGGGCATCTGGGCAGTGGTGGGTGGGGCAAGCTCTCCAGCTCTGCAGCGTCAGAGAAATGCGATAGAGCTTGAAAGCTTTCCAGCTCCAGCACTCCACCTGCCGCTTTGGTGGCTGTGTGGGCAGAGCTGCGAAGAGGGCTCAGAAGGGGAATGAAAGGGAAGAGGGTGGGTGGGCAGGTGATCGGGGATCTGTCCCACTCCACCCCACTTGTTCTGTGGCCCCCAATGCATTCATCCATCATATTCCTCTGCCACTGTGTGCAGTCCCACAAACAAAGTTTGCCAAAGTGGATCCTGGACTGCAATATGTGCTGCAATGGAAGTGGAGCAGCTGGTGCGAGGGAAAGAGTAACTGGGAGAGGAAAGAGGATTGAGAAGCAGGGCCATCCTGGCCCACCAGGCACCGAAGCACCATTGAAAACAGCAGAGTTTGTGTGTGCGCCTGCTATACACTTGCCCCATATCAGCCATGCTTTCCACACCTTGGATCAACTGCAGTGCACCATGAAAAGCATGGCTAATGCCAGACAAACATGCATCAGGTAGACATATGGACTCCATTGTTTTCGGTGGTGCTTCTCACTCGGCCACTTTTTCTCTTTCTTCTCCCAACTCCTCCTTCCCTTGCATTGGCTGCTCCACTCCCCATCTCTCCATTGCAGCACACATTGCAGCTCGGGATCCACTTTGGCAGTGGCAGGATTTGGGGGATGGTGAATCCCCACTTGTGATGTGTCCACCAACCAATTGCCATGCTGTGTTTCAGGAGAGCACCGAAAAAAGCAGAGTCCATGTGCACGTCTGCCTCGCACTCACTCCATGTTCACCATATTCTCCACAGCACACTGCAGCTGAACTGAGATGGCGGGCAGGCATACCCCCAAAAGAGTTGAGTCTGTGTGTGCACCTGCGTTGCTTGGTTCAACCATGCTTTCCATGGTGCACTGCAGCTGATCTGAAACATCCAGCCAGGCACTGAAGCACCATCGAAAACAGCAGAATCTGTGAGCATGCCTGCCTTGCCCTCTTCAGGCATGCTCTCCATGGTGCTGTAGTTGATCCAAGGTAGCCTGCTAGGCACCGAAGCACCGCTGAAAACAGCAGAGTCTGTGTGCATTCCTGCTATGAGCACACCCGTCAGCTGTGCTCTCCACTTCTCAGATCAGCTGCAGCGTGCAAGGGAGACCATGGCTGACACAGGCAAGGCAGGCACGCACACAAACTTGGCTGGTTTTGGTGCACTTCGGTGCATGGCTGGCCACCTTGGGTCAGCTGCAGTGCACTGTGGAGAGCATGCTGGACGTGGGGCAAGCATGAGGCAGATGCACACATGGACTCTGCTTTTTTCAAGTGTCCTTTTAACAACCAGTTCACTGAACTCAAGAAAAAAGTAGGTATCAGTTTGGCCAAACCAGTGCGAACCAGCTGAATCCCACCACTAGTCTTGTCATGTCTATTATTAGTTTAGATGGCTTTGTTATAGCTGCCAATCTTAGCACATCTAGAAGGAAAGGAAATGTTTAATGAAATAGCCCAATTGCTAATTTATGAATAACATTATTATTAATAATGGCCACATTGCTACTTATCTACAGTATGTAGTTAATAGCATAACATTAACAAATAAATAAACAAAAGTCTTTGTGAAGAAGATAAGATGATAAGTTTATATTTTGCTCTAGAGAGGAAGGTAGAAGGTAGAAGAAAAAGAAATATTAGGGGGAATATGATTTGCTGCAAGACAGGTTATGCATCCCAAAGAGCCGCTCCCCAACGGTGAACAGTCTTCCATAGTCTATAGAATTAATTGCAGGAACTGCCCCTG